TCGAGACGCACCCGGCGACCCGAGTTGGACTCCCGCTCACGGCCAACACCAAATGACGAATGTGTGAACTGGTCCTGGGCCTCCCCTAGGTCGACTCAGCCTTGAATGAGTACCTGGTACGATCTGTAAACACCTCCACTAGGGAGACAAAGGTGGTCGGGCGTGGTGCTGGCCACCCATAGGTGCTACTCGCTAACAGCACTTGCCCCAACAGTCTGTTAAGGCTTTACAGGAGATATTTGTCTTTGTGCGGTGTTTACGTGGCGTATGTTGTCGTGTGTATTGTGTGCTTGATATGTATGTGTTCGCTGATTTAGTGTGTAATTGGGGTGAGGATGTGTGTGTGTGTGTCTGTGTGTATGTATGTGTGATGCATGCTCGAGTGCGTCATGTGTGGTGTGCTGTAGTTGACGCGGTGTGGGTATGTGGTCTATGTCTGGCGGGATTTGGCGAGATTTCGTGTAGGAAGCGTATGTGTGATTTGTGGTGCTATTACAGTGTGTAGTGTGTGTGCGTGTGCTGTGCGGTTTGTATTTGGTATGTATAGTATATTGTGTGATGCAATGCACGTGATGTGGTGTTTGTTTAGTGTATGCGGTGTGGGATTTATGTACACACCACACCCGTCATCAGTTATCATGATAATCTTTGCAATTATAGAGGTCATTTTGAGATTCATTAATTATTAAGCACGCCGCAATCATCACAGCAATAAAGTTAGACACAATAATAATCATCACCACCATCCCCGCCATAATCACAAGCATCACAATCATCACAACCATCATCACAACATCGCAATCATCATCACATTAATCATCATCACAACCATTATCACAACCATCATCACAACCATCATCACAATCATCGCAATCATCATCACAATAATCATCATCACAACCATCATCACAATCATCGCAATTATCATCACAATAATCATCATCACAACCATCATCACAACCATCATCACAATCATCGCAATTATCATCACAATAATCATCATCACAACCATCATCACAATCATCGCAATCATCATCACAATAATCATCATCACAACAATCATCGCAATCATCATCCCCATAATCATCACAAACATCATCACAATAATCATCACAATAATCATCGCAATCATCATCACAATAATCATCACAATCATCATCACAATAATCATCATCATTGTCCCTCGGCAGCTGGATCTGCACTGGTTTTCTGCTCCGCGGTCTCGTGATGAGATTGGAAGGCTCCCGAATCGATCCAGGAGTGAGTTGCGCGGTGTTGATTTCATGATAGCGCCTTCAGCGGCCGCGTGAATAGAAAAACCCGACCACCTTCACAACTCGATACGATTCGATGCGAGCTTATTAACCGATATTAACCAATGATTTCGACGTATTGATCCGTCCATTCATACTCCTGTGGTGCATACATGCGCGTGTACCCCTGTGTGACGTCTGCACGTGTACCCCCTGTCTCCCCAGAATGGATGAGCACGTGCAGAGGGTGGATATGGAGGAGGCTCCACCTCGTGATCTGACACGCAGCCCACGTCAAGAGCTTTAACCGGTCCACACCACACCCGCCAAACTCCCCTCGTCACACGCACCACACTCCCCTCGTCACACTCACCACACTCACCACACTCACCACACTCCCCTCGTCACACTCACCACACTCACCATACTCCCCTCGTCACACTCACCACACTCACCACACTCCCCTCGTCACACTCACCACACTCACCACACTCCCCTCGTCACACTCACCACACTCACCACACTTACCACACTCCCCTCGTCACACTCACCACACTCACCACACTCACCATAACCCCGTCACCACACTCCCCGTACGTTCCTCGTCATTCCGCCTGGCGTTCTGACGGCACCACCAGCGTCTGGTGGCGCCATCAGAACGCCAGCAACGTCAGAGTGTGTGTCGTGTGTGTGTGGTGTGTATGTGTGGTGTGTATGTGTGGTGTGTGTGTGTGTGTCGTGTGTGGGGGTAGCGTGGCTCTGGCCATCCACCCCTCCATTGTACCGTGCCTGCCTCCATAGGTACTCGCTGACTCGCTGACAGCACTTTCCCCGAGATCCTGCCGAGACCGTGCGGGTGACCTTTGCCTGTGTCTCTCTGCGCAGCGTGCGCAGCGTGCGCGCCGTGCCGGTGCGGAGCGATGGGGCCCGCCCCGCCAGGCTCGCAGGCGCGAGGCTCGCGGGCTGCCGGCGCCTAGCGGCGAGGGCTCAGCAGCCGGTGCGAGGGCTCAGCAGCCCGTCTATGGTACGCGCACGCACGCGCGTGTGTAAGGAGGGGGAGTGGTGGCGCAGCGGTTAGCACGCTGCGCTACGAACCGCGGCGATGCGAATTCCTTTCCCACTCATGACCAAAAATAATAATGACAGTGGGAGTGAACATCATAACCGGTCTGAGGTCTCCACGGTGTGTAAACATCGCCGCTGGGGAGACAAAGGCGGCCGGGCGTGGTGTTAGCCCCCGCCCCCGTTCGTGTGCCGTGCGGACATTAATAGGGGATCGCTAATGGCACTTTCCCCAAAAGTCTATTCAGGCTACACGGGGGCTCTTTGTCTTTGCGTGCGTGTGCCAGGATGCGCACACGATGCCGTCCCCGCCGGAGTCTGCGAGCCCCCCCGCCTCCCCCACTCGCCACCAGGGCCCCGGTGAGAGGGCTCGCGGTCCGCCTCGCCGCAGCCAGCAAGCCTCGCCCCGGGCCACGTGCCGTCCGCGTGCTCCACCCCCACGCGTTCCACCCCCACGCGTTCCACCCACGAGTTCCACCCCTCTCCCCACGTGTTCCACCCACGCGTTCCACCCCCTCTCCCCGCGTGTTCCACCCACGTGGTCTACCCCCTCTCCCCACGTGTTCCACCCCCTCTCCCCACGCGTTCCACCCGCGCGTTCCACCTCAATGCTCCACCCATACGTTGGGTTCGCACATTTTACCCACAAGTTCAATCTGGAACTTTTATCCGTACGTTCCACGCACATGTTCAGTGCATGTGTGCGTGTTCTTCTCTTCTGCATGTGTCCCGTGTGTGAACACTTGTGTGCGTGTTTGTGTGGGTTGTTGCACGTGTGTGTGTGGGAGCAGTAATGTAGCAGTTGGTGCGCTACGCTATGCACCTGGCTATCAGAGTACGATTCCCGCTCACGTACAACATCAGTGACGATTATCTGAACCGGTCCTGGGCCTCGCCTAGGTCGACTCAGCCTCAAATGAGTGCCTGATGAGGTGCATAAAAACATCGCCACCGGGGAGACAAAGGCGACCGGGCGTGGTTCTGGCCACCTACCCTCGTGTGCTGATCTGGCCTTAATAGGTGCTCGCTAACAGCACTTGCCCCTATAGTCTGTTAAGGCTATATGGGGGATCTTTGTCTTTGTTATTTCAGATCTCGACTCTCCCAGCTACGAACGGATTGACACAGAAGATCGGGTAGGGACTGCTTACAGCTGTGGCACATTCTGAATGTCCGTGTCGCAGTCTCGCGGGGGAAATGAACTTAGATCTCTTATAATTGAAAAACAATTCACCATTCAAACCCTGTTGTCAATGTATGCGTGTTGAACTTTTTTCGCAACGTACGTAGTCATCCGTGCTAATCGGAGGTGCGGGGGAAGGACAACAAACTAACACACAACAACAACAACATTTCCACTGCTTGTGATGGCCTCTCCACAACCGTGCCGTTCATGGGAGTTGTTCGACCAAAGCTCACCCGTGAAGAGACATCACATCGGCTCTTGCGAAACGTTAAGTGGGTCTTGGGAAGGATGCGTCACGGCTCGAAGCGATCATTTCCGATGATCGAGAATGATCACGGAGTGGCAACCAAAGCTGTGGAGCGCGTCCTTTGACAGGACGTCCACCAAGGAGATGGAACGATAAAATCATCTCGTATGCAGATGCTGTACCAGGTGGGCTACTACATCGCAGAGTCGTGAGAGGTGGTGGTGGCGGCTTGAGAAGGTATCATCATCCAGCCGTGGATTGAACCGTGGTTAATGATGATGATGAAGTAGCAACGTACTTTACAGGTATAAACACTAAAAACATCTTAATATGTAGACGACCACGGAGCTTGGGCATTCGTTGACAGCGCTGCAGCTCGTGTCTGAGGGCCCTCGTCGATTGCGGGATGCAATGCGCACGAACGACGCCACGGTATAACACATTCCTGCTGCGGAGGGAGCTGGTAGGAACGTTGGGTTGCTTGGCCAGGGTCAACGGCGGCGTGGTGTATTCCGCAAATATGGCCGACTGTGAGGGCGGGCACAAGCCGGCGTGAGTAGGTTAAACGTTGAGTTTTATAAGGGCACCACGGGGTGACCAGCCCCTCCCCACCTAGCCCTACCCCTCCCACCCCCCACTCAGCCCCACCTTCCCCACCCAGCATCTCCCCACCCTCCCCAACCAGCCCCTCCCCACCCTCCCCTCCCCACCCAGCCCCTCCCTCCCCACCAAGCCCCTCCCTGCACGACGGACGGACACAAAATTCCCTGTGGGCTGGTGTAACCAGGAGGTTCCTACCAGTAAAATGTTAACAGTTCTGAGAATTTGCAACAACACCACAAGACACGCGCCTCCGAGCTCTGGAGACCACCTGGAGAAGACTCCAGGCCGCGTGTGTTCACAATGATGGCGAACAAGTTGAGACTCTTTGACTTTTTGAAGCTATTAACAGTTAAATTTAGATTTAAAGCTTTCGTAACTGCAGGGATTAATATTCTTGGTTCTTTCGGTAAAGTCACGTAGAAGGGAAATAATAAAATAATACAAATATAAAACAATAAAAATGCTCACGACGTTTCGACTGCAACACAAGCAATCATCATCAGATGTGAAATCCACAGTAAGAACATTTGAAACAAGTGGCGGTTTGTGGTGCTGACGTTAGGACAAACCGCCACTTGTTTCAAATGTTCTTGCTGTGGATTTCACACCTGATGACGATTGCTTGTGCTGCAGTCGAAACGTCGTGAGAATTTTTTTTATTTTATATTTGTATTATTATATTATTTCTCTTCTACGTGAATCTATTAACAGTTGTTATCATGTTACAGTGTATTATCCGTTCTTTTCCATTACAAACGGTAGTCCCATTTAAATGTTAAAACATTTTTGAAGCTAGAACACTCTGAAACATTAACCGATATATCCATAAATATATCGAGCCGCAGAGGAAAAGCGGCGGCAGCAACAACGCCCCAAGAAGACCCCGACTATCACCCACCTCCATCACGCCGCCCCTTGCCCCGCACCGCGGCAGAATCTGCGGCTCTGGGGGCGGCCTTGTCAGCCCTATGAAGATCCAGAAACATGACCCGGCGAGAGGACAACCACAGTCGACCCCACGCGCTCGTCGATGATGGTATAGAAATGATGATGATATTATTTATGAAACTAGACCACTGTCAAACATTAACCGTCGACTCAAACTTCTCTTCTTTTCAGGCATCGCAGTGCGTGGATGGTTTGAAGGTAAAGTTACAACGCAAACACAGCGAGACATATCCCATAAAACTAAACTATATTTTTGGGTATTTTACCGGGTAAAGGCCCACGGAGCGATGCCGCTCTTTTCCAGAAACGACCTGGCCACAAATGATACCTCAATGAAGTGGCTCATCGTCACGTCAAAATGTTTAGTGGCCAAACGCGGTTGAAACGCATGCTTCTAAATGTAGAGGGAAAAACCGGAGAACCGGAGATAAATCGATCCCGATCACGGCGTGAGAAACACGCAAACTCCAAATATACAGCAGCAGCAGGCGCCAGGGTCGGGATCGAACCCACGACCTCCTGTATACCGGGCGAGGCAGTGACCATCTCCTAGCCACTGCGGGACAGCGGTGCCAGCTCTGCACTCTGACCCCCCAAACCGACCTGGCCACCTTGCGATGGTTGCCCTTGGTGAGGCCACAGACCACACCGAGAGGAGCACGAGACCGAGGACTTGTGCCCCCCCCACCCCGCCCGCCTTGTCAGCTCCAGGCTCCCCTGGGGCTCCAGGACTTTGAGCTGCTGCGCGTGATCGGCCGTGGGAGCTACGCCAAAGTGCTGCTCGTGCGACTGCGCACGACGGAGAGCGTCTACGCCATGAAGGTGGTCAAGAAGGACATCGTCAACGACGAGGAGGTACGAGCCACGGGCGGCGCGCGTGCCCTTGTGCGACAGGGGAACGGTGGCGCAGTGGTTAGCGCGCTGTGCTACGAAGGTACAATTTGAACGATAAGAACACTTTTTTGTAACGAGGTAAGGCCCATTAAGGTACATAACTCTTCTTCAGAAGCAACGTGGCTGTCACAAATCATAGCTCAGTGGCTTATCATCATGTGGAAATGTATCGCAGCCAAATACTCTAAATGCGTGATGTTGATTATACATTTGGAGGGAAAAAACGGAGGAGCCGGAGAAAAATCTACGCGACCACAGGGAGAGAGACACGCAAACTTCAAATATACAGCAGCAGGCGTCAGGGTCGGAATCGAACCCACGATTCTCCTGCATATCGGGCGAGGTAGTTAACATCTCCTAGCCACCGTGGTGCCCGGCCAACCGAGTTCGATTGCCGCTCACGATCAACAACACCGGTGGCGATGATCTGAACCGGTCCTGGGCCTCTCCTAGGTCGACTTAGCCTCAACTGAGTCCACGCTGCGGTATGTAGTAAACATCGGCCTTCATGGGTGCTACTCGCAAACAGCACTCTGTTAAAGCTATACGGGGGACCTTTGCCTTTGTGCGTGTACACAGGACATCGACTGGGTGCAGACGGAGAAGCACGTGTTTGAGCAGGCCTCAAACCACCCCTTCCTGGTGGGCCTGCACTGCTGCTTCCAGACAGAGAGCCGGTGACAGACGCACCCGCACACTCGTTCACACACGCTCACACCCCACGCGCTCACACCCCACGCGCTCACACCCCCATTCTCATTCATACACACTCACACCCCACGCGCTCACACCCCCACACACTCACACCCCACGCGCTCACACCCACACACTCACACCCCACGCGCTCACACCCACACACTCACACCCCACGTGCTCACACCCACACACTCACACCCCCATTCATACACGCGATAACCCCCACATGCTCACGCTACATACATTCACACCCGCACACTCATTCCCTCCCAAGTACGCATTCCCTCCTTGCGCTCATTCCCTACGATGCATTCATTCACACCTGCACACTCAATCCCTCCTGCACACTCTTGCAATTACACTCACACGTCCACATATACTCATACACATGGACACAAAGCCATATGCGTGTGGTGTCGGGTTGCTGGTTGCCCGTGGCGTCGAGTTGCTGGTTGCCCATGGTGTCAAGTTGCTGGTTGCCCATGGTGTCAAGTTGCTGGTTGCCCATGGTGTCAAGTTGCTGGTTGCCCATGGCGTTGAGTTGCCGGTAGTGCGTGGTGTCGAGTTGCTGGTTGCCCGTGGTGTTGAGTCGCCGGTTGCTCGTGGTGGCGGTGGTGGTGTTGCGCTCCAGGCTGTTTTTCGTGATCGACTACGTGAATGGAGGGGACCTGATGTTCCACATGCAGCGCCAGCGCAAGCTGCCGGAGGAGCACGCGCGGTGAGCGGAGACTGCCTCGCACGGAGACACAAAGAGGCCCCCGCACATTCGGACGCTCCCGTGAGGCCGGCAGCGGATCACGGTTCCGTTCCCGGCTCGGCACGGCAAAACCAGGCAGTGAATAAACCCGTCGGTGCTGCGATGGCCCCGCGCTGGCACTGTTTAAACGAAACTATTTTTTTTTTATTTTGCCAGGTAAGGCCCCACTGAGCCATGCAGCTCTTTTTCAGAAGCGTCCCGGCCACAAATGACAGCTCAACGAAGTGGCTGATCGCCATGTGGACATTTATAGCAGCCAAATACTCTGAATGCGTGACGTTGATTCTAAACTGTGGAGGGAGAAATCGGAGGACCCGGAGAAAAATCCACGAGACCACGGGGAGAGAGACATGCACACTCAAAATATAGAGCAGGCGTCAGGGTCGGGATAAAACCCACGACCTCCTGTAGCGGTTAGCGCGCTGCGCTATGAACCTGGCGACCCAGGTTCGATACCCGCTCACGGCCAACACCAGTGACGATTATCTGAACCGGTCCTGGGCCTCCCCTAGGTTGACTCAGCCTGAAATGAGTACCTGGTTCGGTGTATAAACATCGCCACTAGGGAGACAAAGGCGGTCGTGCGTGGTGCTGGCCACCCACCCCCTCGTGTACCGTTCCGGCCTTCATAGGTGCTCGCTAACAGCACTTGCCCCGACAGTCTGTTAAGGCTATACCGGGGATCTTTGTCTTTGTAATCTCCGACTCGCTCTCTCGCTCTCTCCGTCTCTGCAGATTCTACGCGGCGGAGATCTCGCTGGCGCTGCACTTCCTCCACGAGCACGGGGTCGTCTACCGCGACCTCAAGCTCGACAACGTGCTGCTGGACGCCGACGGACATGCCAAGCTCACCGACTACGGCATGTGCAAGGTGCGGGACACGAGGGTGGTGCAGGACACCGGCGTGGTGCAGGCCACAGAGGTGGTGCAGGACACGAGGGTGGTGCGGGCCACCGGCGTGGTGCAGGCCACTGGGGTGGTGCAGGCCACGAGGGTGGTGTAGGCCACGAGGGTGGTGCAGGCCACGAGGGTGGTGCAGGCCACGAGGGTGGAGCAGGCCACTGGGGTAGTGCAGGCCACGAGGGTGGTGCAGGCCACGAGGGTGGTGCAGGCCACTGGGGTGGTGCAGGCCACGAGGGTGGTGCAGGCCACGAGGGTGGTGTAGGCCACAGGGGTGGTGCAGGACACGAGGGTGGTGCAGGTTTAGCGATGGTGGTTTTGCGATGGTGGTTTTGCGATGTGGGTGCAGGAGGGCCTGAGGCCAGGCGACACCACGAGCACGTTCTGCGGGACGCCCAACTACATCGCGCCCGAGATCCTGCGCGGGGAAGACTATGGTGCGAGAACGCTGCCACCCCCCATGGCGACTCGGCGTCTCTCCCTCTCTGCCTCTCTCTCTCTGCCTCTCCCTCTCTGCCTCTCTCTGCCTCTGTATGACTCTCTCTGCCTCTCTCTTTCTGCCTCTCTCTCTCCGTGTGCGCGCCTCTCCGTGTGTTGTGTGAATATTGTGGGGTGCGGTAGCGTAGTGGTTAGCCCGTCGCGCCACGAACCCTGTGGCATATGCCAGTGGCGAATATTGGAACTGGTCCTGTGCCTCGCCTAGGTCGACTCAGCCTTCATTTATGCAGTGTGTAAACATCAGCATTGGGGAGACAAAGACGGCACGGGTGGGCGTGTTTCTGGCCACACCGCTCCCTGGTGTGCTGTGTTGGGCTTCAGCGGTGCAGACAGCAGCCTGTGAAAGGCTGCACGGGATATCAGTCATAGCCAGCTGGTGTCTAAGTTTTACACTCGTGGCGTCGAGTCGCGTGCAGGCTTCAGCGTGGACTGGTGGGCCCTGGGGGTGCTCATGTTCGAGATGATGGCCGGGAGGTCTCCGTTCGACGTCGTGGGCGGCGCCAAGAACCCCGACCAGAACACCGAGGACTTCCTCTTCCAGGGTGCGTGCAGAGCTCAGAACGCGTCCCACTGAAGTCGGGGGGGGGGGGGGGGGTCACCATCGTTGGCGCAAACAAAATATTCCTCGTCCTGGAACGAGGTGGACAGTCCGCCTGCGCGTGCTCGTTGGTTCTTTCGGTAAAGTCACGTGGGTAGAAAATTTCTAGATCACGACGTTTCGATCGCAACACAAGCAATCGTCTTCAGGTGAAACAAACACAGTGTTTGTCTCACCTTATGACGGTTGCTTGTGTTGCGATCGAAACGTCGTGATCTAGAAATTTTATACCCACGTGACTTTTCCGAAAGAACCAAAGAGTATGGATTCCTGCCGTCACGAAAGCTTCACATTAAGATTAGTCCGCCTACTCGTCCCGGTATTTGTATTCTCTACGACAAGGGACGTTATTTCGTGCGACGTTTTATTCACTTTTCCGTCGAACTCAATTCACCGCTGCTCGCTAACAGCGCTTGCCCCAGCTACCCGGTGGGTCTGTGTCTGTGTGACCCGAGTTAAATTCCCGCTCACGGCCAACACCGGTGACAATTATCTGAATCGGTCCTGGGGCTCGCCTAGGTCGACTCAACCTCAAATGAGTACCTGGTGCGGTATCATCACCACTGGGGAGACAAAGGCGGTCGGGCGTGGTGCAAGCCACCCACCCCCTCGAGTGCCGTGTTGGCCTTCATAGGTGCTCGCTCACAGCACTTGCCCCAAAAGCCGATCCGGGCTGTACGGGGGGTCTTTGTCTTTTGTTTGTCCGTGCCAGTGATCCTTGAGAAGCCGATTCGGGTCCCTCGCTCGCTCTCCGTCAAAGCCTCCAACGTCCTCAAAGGGTTCCTCAACAAGGTGGGGGCTCGCCGCCACGCACGCACACAGGCAGCCTACACGGGGGACCTTTGTCTGTGTGCGCGCCGGGCGTGCGCCGGGTGCGACTGGCCAACGGCACTTGCCCCAGCAGCCTGTTAAGGCTACACGGGGGGCCTTTGTCTGTGTGGCTGTGTGCCCAGGACCCCCGCGAGAGGCTGGGATGCCACCCCGAGACGGGGTTTGTCGACATCCGCGCCCATCCCTTCTTCCGCGTCATTGACTGGGACCTGGTGAGGCACCCTGCGGCGGGCACAGCTCGCAACCACAGTACGCAACCACAACACGCAACCACAACACGCAATCAGCACGCAATCACAACACGCAACCACAACACGCATTCACAGCTCGAAATCACAACACGCAACCACAACACGCAACCACAGCACGCAACCACAACACGCAATCACAGCACGCAATCACAGCACGCAATCACAGCACGCAATCACAGCACGCAACCACAGCACGCAACCACAACACGCAATCACAGCACGCAATCACAACACGCAATCACAACACGCATTCACAACACGCATTCACAGCTCGAAATCACAACACGCAACCACAACACGCAATCACAGCACGCAATCACAGCTCGAAATCACAACACGCAACCACAACACGCAACCACAACACGCATTCACAGCTCGAAATCACAACACGCAACCACAGCACGCAATCACAGCACGCAACCACAGCACGCAATCACAGCACGCAATCACAGCACGCAACCACAACACGCAATCACAGCACGCAACCACAACACGCAACCACAACACGCAACCACAACACGCAATCACAACACGCATTCACAACACGCAATCACAGCACGCAACCACAACACGCAACCACAACACGCAACCACAGCACGCAATCACAGCACGCAACCACAACACGCAATCACAGCACGCAATCACAGCACGCAATCACAGCACGCAATCACAGCACGCAACCACAACACGCAACCACAACACGCAACCACAACACGCAATCACAACACGCATTCACAACACGCAATCACAACACGCATTCACAGCTCGAAATCACAACACGCAACCACAACACGCAATCACAGCACGCAATCACAGCACGCAATCACAGCACGCAATCACAGCACGCAATCACAACACGCAACCACAACACGCAATCACAACACGCAATCACAGCACGCAACCACAACACGCAATCAGCACGCAATCACAACACGCAACCACAACACTGCATTCACAGCTCGAAATCACAACACGCAACCACAGCACGCAACCACATCACGCAACCACAGCACGCAACCACAGCACGCAATCTCATGCACACACAAAGATTCCCCGTGTAACCTTAACAGACTGTTGGGGCAAGTGCTGTTAGCGAGTAGCACCCTATGAAGACCGGTACGGCACAGGTACTGGTGGATGGGTAGCACCACGCCCGGCCGCCTTTGTCTCCCTCGTGCTGATGCTTACACACCGCACCAGGTACTCATTTAAGGCTGACTCGACCTAGTGGAGGCCCAGGACCGGTTCACATAATTGCCACTCGTGTTGGCCTTGTGGGCGGGAATCGAACCCGAGTTCGCGCGTTTGGAGCGCGGTGGACTAACCGCTGCCGTTTGCTGCTGTTGTTGTTGCTGCTGTTGCTGTTGTTGTTGCTGTTGTTGTTGCTGTTGTTGTTGCTGTTGTTGGTGTTTCTGCTGTTGCTGTTGTTGTTGCTGCTGCTGCTGTTGTTGCTGTTGCTGCTGTTGCTGCTGCTGTTGTTGGTGTTGCTGCTGTTGTTGCTGTTGCTGCTGTTGTTGTTGTTGTTGCTGCTGTTGTTGTTGCTGCTGCTGCTGTTGATGCTGCTGTTGTTGCTGCTGCTGCTGTTGTTGATGTTGCTGCTGTTGCTGCTGTCTGCAGCTGGAGAGGAGGGAGGCTGTGCCGCCCTTCAAGCCGCACGTGTCCGAGGAGTTTGGGCTCGACAACTTCGACGCTCAGTTCACGACGGAGCCGGTGCAGCTCACGCCGGACGATGAGTGCGAGACATCACGAGCCATCACGAGACATCACGCACCGCGCCCTGCACTCACTCGCAACTCGTTCACTCGGTCTCAACGCGTTGACTCGCTCCCAACGCGTTCGTTCACCGTGCAGTTCACTCACTCCCAACTCGTTCACTCACTCCCAACATGTTTACTCACTCGCAACTCGTTCACTCGCTCCCAACGCGTTCACGCGCCACGCGGCTCACTCTCTCCTGCACGCTCCACGCCGTCACGTGACAACCCAAGCCCCTCTGGTATCCCGGGGGGCAGCCTCCCATCTATGGCCTAGCCAGGCCAAACCCCTTGCTTAGCTTCCCTGCTCCGCTGAGATGGGGCGCGTTGCGGGTGAGTCGGCGTCTCTGTCCTGACAGACCCTGGGGGACTGCATGCGCTGCCGCCTGCCACGTGCGCCGTCTGCCACGTGCGCTGTCTGCCACGTGACCTTTCTTCGCCTGTTCCCCGCAGGGATTCCGTGAGGAAGATTGACCAATCGGAGTTCGAGGGGTTTGAGTACATCAACCCGCTGCTCCTGTCCACGGAGGAGTCGATATGAAGCACAAGAAGCCACGCAGACACACACAGACACACACACACACGCAGACACACACACACACACACGCAGACACACACAGACACACACGCAGACACACACACACGCAGACACACACACACGCAGACACACACAGACACACACGCAGACACACACACAGACACACACACACAGACACACACACACGCAGACACACACACACACGCAGACACACACACAGACACACACAGACACACACGCAGACACACACACGCAGACACACACACGCAGGCACACACACACAGACACACACGCAGACACCCACGCAGACACACACGCAGGCACACACACGCAGACACACACACGCAGACACACACGCAGACACACACAGGCACACACACACACAGCATTGCAGTAACAGACAACCTTCGTGCATTCTCTGTACCGTGGCAGGAAGTGCCGGGCAGATGAATGCTCACGAACGAGACACGTAGGAAAAACAAACACACACCTAGACAAAGGTCCCCCTTATAGCCTCAACAGGCTGTTGGGGCAAGTGCTGTTAGCGACTTGGCACCTGTGAAGGCCGGCACGGCACAGGAGCGGATGGGATGGGCAGCAGCACGCCCGGCTGCCTTTGTCTCCCCAGTGGCGATGTTTCACACATCGCACCAGGTGCTCACTTGAGGCTGAGTCGACCTAGGGGGGGCCCAGGACCGGTTCACATTAACGTCGCCGGTGTTGATGGCCGTGAGCGGGAATCGAACTCGGGTCGCCGGTTGCTAACCACTGCGCCACCACTCAACACACCACTCCACATACAGATACACACACACACCGATACACACACAGATACACACACGCAGATCTACACAGTTACGGGCGTTCGCCACTGAGTGGCGGTGACGTCACCACTGCGCTTGTGCCAGGCTAGGTGCACTTTCAGGCCACGTGAAGCGTCGAATGCTCGCTGGCAGGAGGACAGGGGACAGACCCCAGGTGTCATGGGTTCAATGGGATGACTGGCACATGCACCACCTATGCCCCCGACTGTGCCAACACGTACATGCATACACAAAGATACGCACACAACATACCAGGATCCTCTGTATATCCGATATAGGCCGACGGAGCAAATGCCGCGAAGCGCCTCTTAAGACTGGCACAGCAGACGTGGAGGTTGACCGCCACCTTTGTCTCCCCCAATGATGTTCGCACAGCGCGTCGAGTACTCATTTAGGGCTGAGTCTATCGCCAGTGCAGATGTCACGCGAACTGGCGTTCGCCATGACCTGGACCAATATTCAGGTGTTTGGATTTAGAGCGCCCACTCTGCTTCAACTCCCATGTAAACAAAGACCCCCCCCCCCCCCGTGTAGCCTTTAACTTTTTAAAGTGTGTGTGACGCTAAAGCCGATAAAAAGCCCTGGCAAAGCATTTCGATGGGCTGCGAGTCCCCATTAGTCCAAGATCCCGTGCGACGTGGCAAGACGAAAGATCCCCCGTGTAGCCCCACCAGACTGTTGGGGCAAGTGTCGTTAGTGAGCACCTACGAAGGCCGGCACGGCACACGAACGGGTGGGATTGGGTGACACCACGCCCGGCCGCCTTTGTCTCCCGGGTGCTGAGGTTTAGACACCGCACCAGGTACAAATTTAAGGCTGACTCGACCTTGGTGAGGCCCAGGACGGGTTCATTTATTCGACGTTCGCCGTGAGCGGGAATAGACCTCGGGTGTCAGGGTTGTGGGGCAGCACGCTCACGTGCACTGCGCCACGGCTCCGCACGCGAACAGACACACGAGCAACAGGCTCGCGACTAAGTGGCAGTGGATGTTCGCGTGCCACTCTGGTGCCAGGCTAGGTGCACACCGTGGGAGCCACGTGCGGGGGTGGCGTGTGTGCGTGTGTGTGTGCGTGCGTGTGTGTGTGTGCGCGTTTGTGCGCGTCGTAATGTGTCTGGAGGGCTTTGATGTTTCTCTGCTGTGGAGTTCAATGGGATGCGCCGAGACGGCAATCAATGACCCCGAGTCCGTGACTTTTATTTTGACGATGCAAACGAGAGTATGCGGCTTGGGTGGTGTGTGTGTGTCATTAGGTGTGTGTGTGTCATTAGGTGTATGTGTCACTAGGTGTGTGTATGTCACTAGGTGTCTGTGTCACTAGGTGTGTGTGTGCCTGGGTATTTTGTACCATCGGGCACTCCACCCCCACAACTCCCAATCGGTGATGGGGCAATTGTGGTGAGAGTGGAGAGTTTCCCATACCTGCGCAGTGTGCTCATGACCGGCTCCGGTTTAACAGCAGAGGTCTCACTCCGAATCAGTCGAGCGGCATTATCTTTTCATCGGTTGCGTAACGCTGTGTGGAAGCTACCTGGTCTGTCGATCCGCTTGCGAAACGTGGACCCCCCGAATGGAACATCTTCACCGGTTAGAAAGATTGAGGCTGGCCTGCCTACGATAAATCCTGGGTTTAACCAGGCTGGATTCTGTGAGGAACTCACAAATCCTCGAAAGATCTGGACAAAGTCCCATCGGTGAGCACCTCCGGCAGGCAAGGCTGCGTTGGCTGGGTCATGTAGCCCGCATGCCCAATCACCGCATGCTAAAACAGCTTTTGTTTGGCTGGATCGAGGGGGTTAAACGGGCGCGGCACGGGCTAGAGAAGAGATGGAGTGATGTGGTACAGGAGGACGTGGAGCTGAGTGGACTTGCCGATGACTGGTACCAGCGGTGTCAAGATCGGCCTCTGTGGAGGAGGCTCGTGAAGGACGCTACTGGGCAGTTGGAGGCAGTCGCCTTCCAACAACAACAGAAGGCGGAGAAGCGACGCTCACAACAACGAGCGGAGCGCCGGGTGGATAAAGCACAGCAAGTTGGCACAGTAGGGAGCACAGGTGGTGCATCAGCCAGTCATCTCGGTCATCTCGGTCAGTCGACCCGTGGCACCTGGGTCTGCCCCGTGACCTGCCAGCGGACGTTCGACACTTCACGTGGCCTCAAGGTGCACATGGCCTGGCACAAGCATCGTGCTGACGTCACCGCCACTTAATGGCGAATGGCGGTTGTTGTTGTTGTGTGTGTGCCACACTGAGTGGTGTGAGTGTGTGACGCTGTGAGTGTGTTACACTGGGTGTGTCACACGAGCTGTGAGTGTGACACCGGGAGTGTGTGTGATACTGGTGTCTTGCCGGTGACTGCTACCAGCGGTGTCAAGATCGGCCTCTGCGGAGGAGGCGGTCGCCCTTCCAACAACGAGCGGAGCAAAGGTGCCGGACCTGTCGGTCATCTCGGTCATCCCACGGCACCTGGGTGTGGCCAGTGACCCTGGTGACTTCACGCGGCTTGCACCCAACCCGGCACACGAGGAGCGGCGACGCCGCAGAGCCCCACCGACTCATTCGCTCTTCATCTGACCCTGCACGCAGCGAAGACATCGAGATCGCCGCTGCCCCGTGTGGCCCAAGTGACAGGTGCAATGTCCCACGGGAGTGTACGTGAGGTTATTCATGAATGTGCGAAATTATATCATTATTATTGGTGAATAATGACGTATGAATCTGCCAATGAGCCAAGAATGTCTGTGTGTGACGTCACTCAACGTCGACCAGCCCCCGTCATTAATAATTATGAACAAGTGACGTCCTCCAAATGGACCCACCCCCCGCCATTCATAATAAGTAGCGGGTGACGTCACTCCACATGGTGGGGGGGGGGGGCGAGGCGCCTCCTCCCCCCTCCTCGGCGTCAACTCACAACCCTCACTACCAAGGCAGAACCCTCACGTCACGTGATCTCGTCACGCTGTTGTTGAGACATCGAAGTAAAAAGGACGTCGTGATGAACACGGGATTATCACCTTCACATGCAATAGGTCTGTGTCACCGCGCCCTTACAAACTGCACATGCATTGATGCTCTGCCTTTCGCTTACAAGTTTCACATTTACCGCAATACACCCGTCCTTGGACGGGCTAAAGTCTAGGCGAGTATAAAATAACTACGATACAATTTTAATCCGTACGGTACTGTAGAACGCTACAGAAGACCTTCATAAACTCACCGATGGGTACACAACGCGGGTTGTCAAGAGCAACCAGCGAGCACCAACAATGACGTCACGCGTGCAGAGCGTCCGATCACATTTTGGTTTAATTCGCTTGCACTTAGCTAGGACACCTCACGAAACGGACAATTGGTTAAACATATATTCATATCGGTGTTCGTTATTCGTAACATTCATTTCTTAGACGAGCATGTTGGGTGAGGCGGATTGGGATGGTCGTGAGTTCAACTCCTGCTTGGGTGCGTTGACTCAGCCCCATGACTCCACCGAGGGCCCCATCAGCCCAGAGGCCCTCCTCGTACCCTCTGGGTCCTGTTGCTCCAATGACGGTGGCATCATTCGTGACTTAGCCGCAGCTACAGCGAGGAGAAAACTAAATACGTGTTTGTTGAAAGGAGTGCAGTGATTTGTGGTTGTTGAATTTACCTTGAGCCGAATAAATGTTAATTTAACATGTTTTTTTTTTTTACAAAATTGTTATACTTAAGCCGCTCAAAACATAAAACCGGCCCTGATCCCACGAGCGGGGGGTCGATAAAATGCGTACCACTCTGTGGAGAAGCCAACAGCGGCTGGCCTATTGACACAGACTCGTTCCCACCATAGCATCGTGGAATTTCCCCCACCTGCTCAGCGGTTTGTGAACAGGAGCCGAACACCGATCGAGAGCCAGGAGACGTCTAGGAACGCACGGAGCCACGCGGGGAGGGAGCGAGAGGGGGGGAGGCGACTCGCTCCGGAGATGCTGGCGACATTTATTGAATAAAAATGCGTGGAGTGAGCAGCCGCTTCGCGATCCGCGCCGGGGCTTACAGGGATTCCTTCCCCACCCACCACCCACATCGCGGCTGTGGCGCACGAGACAGGAATATATATATTATCATCATTATAATAATTATCATCATTATGGTATACACAATATGTACAGTTATACAGCGAGAGCCAGCAGCAGCAGCATGCCCTGTGAGCGTCGATAGCCACGTGTATGCGTAAATAGCAGGTGACGTGCGGACACACACACACACACAAAGACAAAGATCCCCCGTGTAGCCTTTAATAGAGTGGAGGGGCAAGTGCTGTTAATGAGAACCTACAAAGGCCGGAACGGTACACAAGGAGGAGGGTGGCCAGCACCACGCCCGACCGCCTTTGTCTCCCCAGTAGAGATGCTTACACACCGCATCGGATACTCATTTAAGGCTGAGTTGACCTAGGGGAGGCCCAGGACCAGTAATCGTCAGCGGTGTTGTAGTCGTGAGCGGGAATCGAAATCGGGTCGCCTGGTTCGTAGCGCGGCGTAGCGCTAACGGCTACCACTCCCCACGCACGCACTCGCACACACGGACGGACGCGCACGCACACACGGACGGACGCGCACGCACACACGAACCACTGCAAAACACGGTCACGGGAACGAACGGAACGGACTGACGGGAGGGAACGCGTGAGCGGTCGGAGTCGCGAGCGGCTCCCGCGCCCTGTGGGGTTGTGGACGGCTCCCGCAGGGCGGAGGCTCGCTAACAGTCCGAGTCGCGCCAAACTCCGGAGGGGCGTGCGCGCCACGGACCTCGTGGCAGCCGACGGAACCCCCCCCGCTCGCCGCCCGGACACGTGACGCCCGACCCTATCGGGACAACGCCACCGCGACCACCACCAGCCACCAGCCACCGCCTTCGCCCTGCTGCGACAATGCCCCCGCCCCTTCCCCCCGCTCCACGGAGTACCCCCTCCACCCCCACCCCGTCCTGCTTTGTCTCTCTTGCGTGGTGTGACACGGGAGGCGAGGGGGGGGGTCGCGGTCGGCCGGGCGCTGGGGGTCAGCGCCGCGTGGGTTTCTCACTGCTCCGGCTGGGGCTCCTGCAAGAATAACAACGCGGGGAGGAGGAGAGAGGAGAGAGGAGGAGGAGGAATGACGCACACGGCATGGACGTGTCGCTCGCCGCTCACCGGCAGCACGTCCCCCCATAGTGGCGACGCTCACGACGCTCCGCTCCGGCACGGCGAGGTGCCATCACGCGGAGCCGTGGAATAACCCGAGCGAGAGCGAAGGCTCCCAAGCAGGGAGCCCCCCCCCCACCCCGGTTTGCACGAAGAGAGATAAGGCGCATCGAATATCAGCTAAAAAATTCGATTCCCGATGAAAACAAACCTAACGAAAGTTATATAATCAACATAACAAGCCAATTCATCTTTCTCATTTCACAACACCTTATCTCTTGCCGACATCTCTGCCTCACTTTGTCTCTCTCGTCTCGCGACACCTCGCCCGGCACTAACGAGGTCGTGAGCTCGATCCCGAACCTGACGCCGGCTGTATATTCGGAATTTGCGTGTTCCTCCCGAGGTCGCGAGGATCTTTCTCGCATTTAGAATCAACGTCGCGCGTTTAGAGTATCTGGCTGCTATACATCATGAAAACGAGTGATATGGCTCAGTGGAACTTACCTGGTGAAATAAAAAGTTTAAATAGTTTAGTTTAACATCTCTGTCTCTTCATCTCACAGTTTAGACAATTGACGGGGGGTTGAGGGGGGCGGGGTGCGGCCAGGTACCTCCGGGGACGTGGTGCCAGGCGCTGTGCACCCCGGCGGCTGTGTGGTCCGGCTCGTGCCCGCGTCCCCCCTCGCCGCCTCCGGGTGATTGAGCAGAGAGTGCACGGAAGCTGCGCACGTCACACAACGAGACGCAGACGAAGGTCCCCCGTGTAGCCTACGCGGGCCGTTGGGACAAGTGCCGTTAGCAAGTGGCACCGATAAACGGCGGTAGGGAACACGAGGGGGTGGTGTGGCGAGCGTCACGCCAGCCCTGCCGCCTTTGTCTCCCCAGCAGTGCCGATGTTTACACTCCGCATCATGAACACATTTGAAACCGACTCGATCTTGGGGAGGCCCATGACCAGTTCAGATGTTCGTCATCGGTGTTTGAATGCGAGCGGAAATCGAACTCGGGTCACCGGC